ACACTGCTGGTGGACATTTAGTCCCCGAGGTTTGTATGTGGTAGACACTGCTGGTGGACATTTAGTCCCCGAGGTTTGTATGTGGCAGACACTGCTGGTGGACATTTAGTCCCCGAGGTTTGTATGTGGCAGACACTGCTGGTGGACATTTAGTCCCCGAGGTTTGTATGCGGTAGACACTGCTGGTGGACATTTAGTCCCCGAGGTTTGTATGTGGTAGACACTGCTGGTGGACATTTAGTCCCCGAGGTTTGTATGTGGTAGACACTGCTGGTGGACATTTAGTCCCCGAGGTTTGTATGTGGTAGACACTGCTGGTGGACATTTAGTCCCCGAGGTTTGTATGCGGTAGACACTGCTGGTGGACATTTAGTCCCCGAGGTTTGTATGTGGTAGACACTGCTGGTGGACATTTAGTCCCCGAGGTTTGTATGTGGTAGACACTGCTGGTGGACATTTAGTCCCCGAGGTTTGTATGTGGTAGACACTGCTGGTGGACATTTAGTCCCCGAGGTTTGTATGTGGTAGACACTGCTGGTGGACATTTAGTCCCCGAGGTTTGTATGTGGTAGACACTGCTGGTGGACATTTAGTCCCCGAGGTTTGTTTGTGGTAGACACTGCTGGTGGACATTTAGTCCCCGAGGTTTGTTTGTGGCAGACACTGCTGGTGGACTTTTTTAAAATTGAAGTTTTGGTTAAGATTATGTCGACATGTTGGTATTTTTTTATTGCCATATAACTTTCTAAACCTTGGATATAATATGAATATATGATATAAATAAGATAAAATAAAAAGGCAAATACATTTGGTAAGGTTGAGGGTCAAAATGAATAAATTTTAACGGGTCGAGGGCATTCATATGCTTAAATAAGGCACGACGTGTATGTACAATCAGTAGAAAGATTGTACAAAAGACACAAATGAATATTTATTACAAACTGAGATTTAGATTCAGTAAAGCTAATAATAAATAAAACTGCATTACACAGCTGTTTCGTCCTGCTAGGGTTTGTCATTGATGCTAAGGGCCTAAATGTTAAACCTAGCAGCTAACTGCGGAAAATCCAAATAATAGAAAGCAATGTCAAAATTAAGATATTGATAAGAATTAAATTTTGTAATTTTCATATGTCTGATAACTTAAGAACGTCAAGTACATGGTTATATGAACCGATTACCGTTTGTTCATTTGACAGAACACTGGCGTGTGACCAGTATTATAGATGGATGTTACCACAACTACTTACAGCGACCTCTGGGTCACTAGTGACGTCTTGTTGTTACGACATCGAACTTTTAAATGAGATTTCGATGGAAGAATTGATCAAATAGCTAGTATTTAAATCAATGTTATTTATCACACTATAGATCTTAGTCTTAAAATAGCCGCTTTCGTAAGTATCTCCAATTTATACACATATGGTTTCCAGTGATTAATATCCAGCATTTTAATGAGATGTGTACTTGTGAAAATTGTAATTCATTATATGGTATGAGTATATTTCATATCTCATTGTAACATCAGTTTTGTCCGGATAGTCAAAATTCGGATAACAGAGGTTTTACTTTGTGCATATTACAGCCTTTGTGAGGATATACACCCACATACAGTGTCTAAGCATTATAGATAATATGCCATTGTGTAAACCAAAGAGTGTCCAGGTCATCGCTAATGTATCTAATTGTTATGTCCGTGTGTAGACCTACCTGATCAATCTATTACGGTGACAAAGCTAGTTACTCAGCTGGCAAGTCAGGTCATTGTTACCCGTACCTAAAAGCTTCTATTGCAGTTGATCGATAAAAGTTGGAATACATACGTATATATAAATGCACGTTCCGTGACAGTTACCAAGGACAATTTATAGAGGTGTAGCACTCCGGGTATAAACACAGATAACTGGGGCACAACGAGGGGGTTATATCAGGTTTCATTCAATTCTTTAATTGACATAATTAAGAGTGTATATCATTTCTGCACTCAAAAATCAAATTTTTTAAATGATCAGATTAATGTCTTTGTTTTATTCTTTAATGTATTTTGGTATAGAGTCAGTAATTTAATGCCAATGTACATACATTTTATATCACAATGTATCCCTCTTTATCAATGACTGATCATTAGATCTAGTTAAAATCTATAGTTACGACTTTACGTATACTAGTAGATATACATTATTTATAACGTACCTGAACGAGTGTGTGGATGTTTATTGGGAATTATAAAAAAAAAGATGACATTATTATGTGAGAATTCAAATGATTTGGGAGAAGACTAGAAAGGATATTATTTTTAAGTGATACATATTTATAATCATCATGTATTCTGATGAACCGACCCCTCCTGATGTCCGACAGAGACCATTCTCTGCCTCGATATACCCAGACTATCCATGGCAGGACTTGTCTCAACTTATACAGAGACAGAGGTAGGCCAGTCAGTCATCCTGTGTAAATTCATGTTGTCTTTCCTTTGGTTTTGATGTGCTAACAACTTAAACAGAGACAGAGATAGGCCAATTAGTCATCCTGCATAAATTCATGTTGTCTTTCCTTTTGTTTTGATGTGTTCCCGTCATATGCAGAGACAGAGGTATGCCAATCAGTCACCCTGTTTAAGTTCATGCTGTCTTTCCTTTCGTTTTGGTGTCTTTATCATTGGCTAGATTTCTAAAACATATTTCCCTGGTCTTTTAAAGGGGGTAATTTTAATTTCTATGATTCCTGATACTGTTTTAGAATTTTCGTGTTTAACTCTATGATCAAATGAATAATGAATTGTTCAGATACATTACCTAATAACCTAACACAGAAAAACACCAGTGAGATATTGTTATAACAAGTAAAGAACCAAACACCCCTTTCAAATACCCTACCACCCCTTCAACCTTATTTTTTTCATCATAGCGGAGTCCATACTTAACACATGATTCGGTACATATAGAAGTAAGATTATGTGGCAGTGAGGGGTTCGGTACATGTAGAAGTAAGATAATGTGACAGTGAGGGGTTCGGTACATATAGAAGTAAGATAATGTGGCAGTGAGTGCTTTGGTACATGTAGAAGTAAGATAATGTGGCAGTGAGAGGTTCGGTACATATAGAAGTAAGGATAATGTGGCAGTGAGGGGTTCGGTACATGTAGAAGTAAGGATAATGTGGCAGTGAGGGGTTCGGCACATGTAGAAGTAAGGATAATGTGGCAGTGAGGGGTTCGGTACATGTAGAAGTAAGGGTAATGTGGCAGTGAGGGGTTCGGTACATGTAGAAGTAAGGGTAATGTGGCAGTGAGGGGTTCGGTACATGTAGAAGTAAGGGTAATGTGGTAGTGAGTGGTTCGGTACATGTAGAAGTAAGGGTAATGTGGTAGTGAGTGGTTCGGTACATGTAGAAGTAAGGGTAATGTGGCAGTGAGGGGTTCGGTACATGTAGAAGTAAGATGATGTGGTAGTGAGTGGTTCGGTACATGTAGAAGTAAGGATAATGTGGCAGTGAGGGGTTCGGTACATGTAGAAGTAAGGATAATGTGGCAGTGAGGGGTTCGGTACATATAGAAGTAAGGATAATGTGGCAGTGAGGGGTTCGGTACATGTAGAAGTAAGGGTAATGTGGTAGTGAGGGGTTCGGTACATGTAGAAGTAAGGGTAATGTGGCAGTGAGGGGTTCGGTACATGTAGAAGTAAGGGTAATGTGGTAGTGAGTGGTTCGGTACATGTAGAAGTAAGGGTAATGTGGTAGTGAGTGGTTCGGTACATGTAGAAGTAAGGGTAATGTGGTAGTGAGGGGTTCGGTACATGTAGAAGTAAGGGTAATGTGGCAGTGAGTGGTTCGGTACATGTAGAAGTTACGGTGATGTGGTAGTGAGTGGTTCGGTACATGTAGAAGTAAGGGTAATGTGGTAGTGAGTGGGTAGTGAGTGGTTCGGTACATGTAGAAGTAAGGGTAATGTGGCAGTGAGGGGTTCGGTACATGTAGAAGTAAGATGATGTGGTAGTGAGTGGTTCGGTACATGTAGAAGTAAGGGTAATGTGGTAGTGAGTGGTTCGGTACATGTAGAAGTAAGATGATGTGGTAGTGAGTGGTTCGGTACATGTAGAAGTAAGGGTAATGTGGCAGTGAGTGGTTCGGTACATGTAGAAGTAAGGATAATGTGGCAGTGAGGGGTTCGGTACATATAGAAGTAAGGATACTGTGGCAGTGAGGGGTTCGGTACATATAGAAGTAAGATGATGTGGTAGTGAGTGGTTCGGTACATGTAGAAGTAAGGATAATGTGGTAGTGAGTGGTTCGGTACATATAGAAGTAAGATGATGTGGTAGTGAGTGGTTCGGTACATGTAGAAGTAAGATAATGTGGCAGTGAGAGGTTCGGTACATATAGAAGTAAGGATAATGTGACAGTGAGTGGTTCGGTACATGTAGAAGTAAGGATACTGTGGCAGTGAGGGGTTCGGTACATGTAGAAGTAAGGATAATGTGACAGTGAGGGGTTCGGTACATGTAGAAGTAAGGATAATGTGACAGTGAGTGGTTCGGTACATGTAGAAGTAAGATAATGTGGCAGTGAGGGGTTCGGTACATGTAGAAGTAAGGATAATGTGACAGTGATTGGTTCGGTACATGTAGAATATCCTTTACAATATTGATTATATCCGACATTGTATGTTTTTTTTCAAGTTGTATCATTGCCTGGTGTTATGACATATATCCATTTTGGTTGAGTGAATGATTTATATCGCATGTCTTGTCTAGGGCAAACTTCGATTTACAAAGTCATTTTGTGTTCACAGATAATGTGTTTACAAAATGTGTCCTTTTATTTGTGAACCAAAATATTGTTTGATGCATTTCGTTATTTTTTTTAATTTTATATATATAATATGTCTTTTTAAGTGATTACAGAATGTTGTTCAATCTTTTTAGACAGAAAATGTTGTTTTATGAATTAACATAATATGTCTTTATGTGCTTTCACGAATTAACTGGATGTGTTTACAGAACAACATATGGCCATATGAATGACTGGATGAGAATGGCGATGGACCAGAGCTCGGGAGCCGGGACTGGGGTCCCTCCCACACTAACTGACAATAACTGGCAACAATTCAAATCGGTTAGTTTAAGTTGTTATTGATAAACATATATATATTTGATACATATCATTTGATGCAGATATACAAAAAATGACACAAATAAATGATATATACGACAAATCGTTAAGGACATGCACTTAATGAATAGACTCATTATACAATATTTATATTCCAAATATAATATAGTATATACATAAAACTCATGTTTTCAAATACTGCCTTACGTGCCAAATACAGCACGTGCTGAATACTACTCAATACATTGAGTGTTAACGTTACATATCGAAAAACGTTTTGGCTACACAATGAAAGCTTTCTTAGACATATTTCATACTTAAATATGTTGTCTAAAACATCAATAAACCTAAAATGAATATTATGATATATCTCTTTTTAAACAGCCTGCTCAGAAAAAAGAAGAATCTGAGATGAATTACAGAAGAACATACGCAGATCTGACGTCAAAGATTGCTTACAGATATCCCAATCCTGGGGCTCCAAGGTAAAGTAGTGCAATACATATCTCTCAGAATTATCATACAGATATCTCAATCACAGGGCTCCCAGATAAAGTAGTGTGATGCATATCTCTCAGGATTATCCTTCATATATCTCAATCACTGGGCTACCAGGTAAAGTAGTGCAATACCTATCTCTCAGGATTATCCTACAGATATCCCAATCACAGGGTTTCCCAGGTAAAGTAGTGTGATACCTATCTCTCAGGATTATCCTACAGATATCTCAATAACAGGGCTACCAGGTAAAGTAGTGTGATACATATACAAAATTGTTTAAATTAGACATATATATTTGCTTTTGTTATGACCATGTGTACAGAAATACCAAATCAATAGTATGGGACTTGCTCATCTCCCCATTGAGGTTTTAATGTTTATTTCGATTACTTAAGATTTTACTCGGTGACTTCATTGGCTCCAAACTTTAGGTCCTTATAATCACTGACGAGTCCTAGAAGGACAACACAGCTATATGATGTAGTATCACTGACGAATCTAGAAGGACGAAACAGCTGTATGATGTAGTATCACTGACGAGTCCTAGAAGGACGAAACAGCTGTATGATGTAGCATCACTGACGAGTCCTAGAAGGACGAAACAGCTGTATGATGTATCATCACTGACGAGTCCTAGAAGGACGATACAGCTGTATGATGTTGCATCACTGACGAGTCCTAGAAGGACAACACAGCTATATGATGTAGTATCACTGACGAGTCCTAGAAGGACGAAACAGCTGTATGAAGTAGCATCATTTACGAGTCCTAGAAGGACAACACAGCTGTATGATGTAGCATTATTGATGAGTCCTAGCAGGACAACACAGCTGTATGATGTAGCATCACTGACGAGTCTTAGAAGGACGATACAGCTGTATGATGTAGTATCACTGACGAGTCCTAGAAGGACGAAACAGCTATATGATGTAGCATCACTGACGAGTCCTAGAAGGACGAAACAGCTATATGATGTAGCATCATTTACGAGTCCTAGAAGGACGAAACAGCTATATGATGTAGCATCACTGACGAGTCCTAGAAGGACGAAACAGCCGTATGATGTATTTTCCTTTATTGATTTTTCTACTGTATGTAACAATAGATTTTTATCCGGATGTGTTATACATTTGTGTGTCTTTTGTTCAATCTCTCGGGAGTATAAGATAATAGATGATTTGATTTCAATCGAAAATAAATCACGTATAACGCCACCTGTAAAATGGACATATTATCTTTTTATCATTGGACGGTCTGAGTCTAAACACCTAGAATTACATAATATATATATATATATATACATTGTTCTCCATAATATTTCTAGATTATCTTCGAAATAAGATTAATATGATAATATAACCTTATATATCTAGAATCCGCTTATGTTTCAATATCTGACAATGTGATAATCTCTACAGTTGATTTGTACACAGGATCATTCTTGGTTTATACAAATTTACTTTGTAGACTACGACAGGGCCGAATAGGTGGTACCTGGAGACACATTAAGGAAGTGCTTGGACACGGGGGGAGTAGGGTGTGTTATGTTGATGGTAAGTTCTATACCAGTAAAACTGTATCAATGCCGAATCGATTAATTCAGAAATCTAATGTTCTAGCAAATATAAACATTGTATTTATTGAGAAATGTTTCTTTGTGATGTATGAAATATGACGTGTGTGATGCTGGTTAGAGTTAGGACTACATGTTGGTTCCGTTGTTGTATCGTGTTCTCATATCAAGACGTGACATTACTTACTTGGATTGACCAAAATTTACATGGCGGATGTTGTCGATGAAGCAGGTCATTCGTCCAGAACTCGTTTTCGTATTCTCCCTGCATTTTCCAGGAGTTTACGTGTAAACATTTCTTTTAAACATATTTTGTCCTAGTTTTATTATGATTATTGGTAATTTAGATCAACGCTAAAATCCAAACATTATTCGATACTGTGATGAAATGGATCTACAGGTTGCCGTTTTAACATCGACTTTCTGTTGGTATTTTCTTAATGTTTTTTTAACGACTCCTGGTCGGATTACACCAATCATTATTTGATATTTTTATGAAATGTAATGGATCTACATAATGTCGTTTTTGTGTCGACTTTCTGAAGAATTGCTGTACATTAAATTTACAGTAATGACTTAACATTATGAATTTGACAAAAGACATAGAAGATTCTCTGTTTGTTCGCCTGATTTTCAATTGGATACTGACTATAACTGACAACAAAAAATAATTCGTTTTCATGAGTGCAGAAGTTCTGAAATAGGTTGACATTTTTTTGAAACCTTAAACGAGGTTACTATGTTAGGTAAAACAATGCAGCGTCAGACTAGAATAAATAAGTGGGGGAAATATATATCAAAAATACAATTTACAATGAATTCACCACACTATCAATCCGGTCCTTAGTAGGGTGTATTATCTAAATCGATGAAAACAGGAGAATTATATTTGTATTTGTCAAATGTCTGAAATAGATTAATGACTTGTAAGGTAAAATAAATACAGGTGTTAAGGGCAACATATCCTATCGCAAATAATTCTTAGTGTTTTCTGACTTAGATATTACGATATTATTTTACCTTTTGTTACGGTCACATTTTATCATAACAGATTTTACACCAGTACATAACGGCGTTAACACAAGGTTATATTTTATCATAACAGATTTTACACAAGTATATAACGGCGTTAGCACAAGGTTATATTTTATCATAACAGATTTTACACAAGTATATAACGGCGTTAGCACAAGGTTATATTTTATCATAACAGATTTTACACAAGTATATAACGGCGTTAGCACAAGGTTATACTTTATCATAACAGATTTTACACAAGTATATAACGGCGTTAACACAAGGTTATATTTTATCATAACAGATTTTACACAAGTATATAACGGCGTTAGCACAAGGTTATATTTTATCATAACAGATTTTACACAAGTATATAACGGCGTTAGCACAAGGTTATATTTTATCATAACAGATTTTACACCAGTACATAACGGCGTTAACACAAGGTTATATTTTATCATAACAGATTTTACACCAGTACATAACGGCGTTAACACAAGGTTATATTTTATCATAACATATTTTACACCAGTACATAACGGCGTTAGCACAAGGTTATATTTTATCATAACAGATTTTACACCAGTACATAACGGCGTTAACACAAGGTTATATTTTATCATAACAGGTCTTACATCAGTACATAACGGCGTTAACACAAGGTTATATTTTATCATAACAGGTCTTACATCAGTACATAACGGCGTTAACACAAGGTTATATTTTATCATAACAGATTTTACACCAGTACATAACGGCGTTAACACAAGGTTATATTTTATCATAACAGATTTTACACCAGTACATAACGGCGTTAACACAAGGTTATATTTTATCTCTACAGAGCTTACATGAATTAATGACAGCGTTAGCTTTAACACAAGGTTACATTTTAACTTTACAGAGTATATGATGACGTTCTAGTGTTAATACAAGGTTCAATTGTATCATTTAATGTCTTTCATGAGTAAACAACGACCTTAATTGTGTCACAAGGTTACATTTTGTCAATATATATTAAACGAGTAAATAACAGGTTAGGTTTAATCAAGATTGCATTTCATTGTAACAGGTCTTATACGAGTATATGACGACGTTAGTTTTAATACGAGGTTGCATTCAGCGTCATCACAACGACATCATCTACGTAATGCTCAGCATTCCTGGGAGAATCCATCGAATGTACAACGTAAGTATTTGTGATAAAGCAAGCGTATGATCTTTTTATCATTGAAGTTTTCAACTGAAATACAAATCACAATTACAGTTTTCCTAAATATGTCCTTCAAAACAAACCTTACAAATAAAGGTCAAATGTTTTTTATGTGGAGTCGAATTTAATTGATGAAATACAATGATGATAATTGATGGTGTAATAAGAGAGAATAGTCACGGATTTGTCGATGTAGGAGATATCTGCATAGAGGAGTATCGCACGTACTATACGACGGGTTTTATTGATCCAAAAGTGGTACAATGTTTTAATCTTATATTTGATAAAAACAGTCAAACTGGACATGTTCGTAAATCATCACTAAAATTTGATAAAAACAGTCAAACTGTATGGCCATGTTCGTGACTGTAACATTAATGTTACGACTGATATTAATGTGTTATAGATATATCTCCGGAAACAACTGTATGTTACGGAATCATGTACTATAGAGGTTGATTTTTTAGTGAATGTGTATACAGCTGTATAATGGAATGATACATTCTGAAAGTTGCATTTTGCACTGCATGGTAAACTGCTGATTCTTTTAATGGAATTAGATATTATATTTTTTTTTGTATGAACTGTTCAACTGCTTATTTTTCTAATGAAATATCATACTTTTAAAGTTTATTTTTATACCGACTAGTAAATTGCTAATTTTTCTAATGAAAACTCATACTTTTAAAGTTGATTTATGTACTGCCTGGTAAACTGCTATTTTTTTTTAAAAATAATATACTGTTAACATAGCAACCATCACACTTGTTTCGTTCTGGATTAATTGCTACAGTAGACAGACAATGAAGTGTATTGTATTTTAAATATAACATCATCCATGTATTGTATCTTATTTTTACAGTGCCGCCATTAAGTAAAAGCATGGGACAAGTATCTTTTGAAGACCCCGACGTAGCTAGGAAAATCAGACTGTCATCTGCTCAAAAATACAAAGGATTTTACAAGCAGAATTGAGGGTTACCTCCCTTCCCCTTCATAATCAAACACTACTTTTACCACTAAGGGCATCGCCAAGTGATTGACACATAACCTTAAAGGTTGAAGAACAGTATTATTTTCACGTCCACGTATATATATTATTGTCAATGATATAAAATTCTTCTGGTACACTTGTTTTTGTTATCGTGTGATTATTCCGATAGAGCGTGAGATGAGAAAGATTGCTGTTTTTGATTCCTGATATAGAAATACTATATAAACATGGAACTTAGCGTCGCAATGGTAGTAAAGATCCAATGTTAAGATTATCTGAGAAATATTCCATTTTTTTGTGCGATATGACGCTGGGCGTGTTTCATGCTCGTTAGTTTGCCTATTTGTTCCGTTATTGTTACATTGTTTGTTTGAGATCGTGACATAACTTGGATTGACCATAATGGACGTTGGAGGTGTCGTCGATGAAGCAGAAAACGCTTACCCTGCAGAAACACATGAGTCTTATTTCCCCTTGTACTTTTTCAGGAGACATCGTATAAAGATTTCACATTTTGCTCTAGTTTTATTTAATTTGGGGTTAATTAATGGTTATGTTAACATGTTGGTATTTTCTTGTTCTTAAAATGATAGGGAAGTACTAACAACTCGACCTCGCAATGCAATCGCATCATAGTATTTATAAGATCAAATCAAACGGTAACGTTATCGTCAGCGCAATGTATCATACATGTTTTCGTTTCCTGTTTATATGATTGCCATGTTTTTTAAAAATAGAATAATTGATTAATAATATAAATTTTAATTCAAAGAAGCGGTTAATCTTCTTCGATAGTAGACAAAAACAAGCATATTTTGGAGCACAGAATTGTTTCCAAATCAGACCAATTTTGATGCGTTTTATGCCTGAAAGGCACAAGTTTTTGTTTCGTAAAAGTAAAAATGTTACACACAGACCCATGATAGGGTTACTATCAATCAAGCTCCCGTGCAGTAAATAAAAATAGTGGTATCGCGCATGTTTTCGAGAGGTTACTAGAAGTCTTTCAAAAAAACGTATTTTCAAGACTTTTGCTCATGAGAAATTACATTCTTATTTTAAGGATAGGTTCGTTTTCGGGAGGGGGAGGGATGCTGCGAGTGAAGTTGTAGGTTCAGAAATGCAGATACTACCAATCCTCTGTGTAAAAAAGGAATATTCTCAAAACGTAGGCATCCATCATACAGCGTCATTGTCATCTTCTAACACATAACTATAAGCTTTAGGGCAGCTTATCGTGGGATCCGCTTTATCACAAACGTTTGATGTACTTCCTCAGCAAATCTGTTTGTGATTTGATGATAATGTGAGAACCTAGATTAAATGCATATTGCACTGTTGGGGAGCCAAACATTTGGGTATTTTCTCTTTTCGCCATGCCAAAAAGATTTCTCGATAAAACGTAAATTTAATCACATTGCATGCTCCGTCGATATCCGAGATGCTATTTTGGACATCGGCTAGATTCTCTTGGTGATATGGGCTTTAAGTCAGGTGTTAATAGATACACCTGTTGGACATATACTTGTTGTGGTAGTTAACAACATTCATGTAAACTGACGATCTAGATAGAGAATATAAGATTACCTTCCCTACAAAGTTTCATTTCAACAAGATCAAAGGGATATGAACTATGGACGCTAGAGGGAGTCTATGAGAAATCTTTTGAAAACAAAACAAAACAAATTTCCAGTTATGTGGAATATCGGGGAAGTTCAAACGTTTATAAAGCATGCTAATTAAAAAAAAACTTCTGCATGAAAGGAAAATAATGAAACCAGAATAATAGATTTGTCGCTTAACTAGAGTAAAATACCCATATCATACATGTACCTTTAAACAGCAGTAATATTGAAACTTAGATAAGGAAACCTTGCTTTTCAACCTTAGGGACTTACGTCCACGAAACACCTAAGTTCATGTTGAAATGTCCAAAGGTAATGGGGGTCATACAATGACGACTGAATAATGAAATGACCTGATTGTCCCGGTTAATCTTAACAGACATATATCAAAACCATAAATTCAACAATGTTTAAGGCTAAACTCTGCACAAACATTCGTCTTCCGGCAACCTCTTCTCAGTTGCTGAAAGCGTAGAGGTAACCAGTGCTTATGTTCAAACCCATACCCAAATAACCAATAATATTTCATTTTCGTGAATCCGTTCAAACAAATCAGATTGATATTTTAAAGTGCCAATTTCGGTTTGAAAACCATTTTTTTCTTTTTAAGTGGCAGCAATTTAATAACTTTTCAGTTAACTCTAACCGAGCTTTTAAACAACAAGGCAAGGTGGGTGTGTAGTAGAATGATGTCTTTATAAACAACAAGGCAAGGTGGGTGTGTAGTAGAGTGATGTCTTTATAAACAACAAGGCAAGGTGGGTGTGTAGTGGAAAGATGCCTTTATAAACAACAAGGCAAGGTGGGTGTGTAGTAGAATGATGTCTTTATAAACAACAAGGCAAGGTGGGTGTGTAGTAGAATGATGCCTACATAAACAACAAGGCAAGGTGGGTGTGTAGTAGAATGATTCCTACTTAAATAACAAGGCAAGGTGGGTGTGTAGTAGAATGATGTCTTTATAAACAACAAGGCAAGGTGGGTGTGTAGTGGAAAGATGCCTTTATAAACAACAAGGCAAGGTGGGTGTGTAGTAGAATGACGTCTTTATAAACAACAAGACAAGGTGGGTGTGTAGTAGAATGATGTCTTTATAAACAACAAGGCAAGGTGGGTGTGTAGTGGAAAGATGCCTTTATAAACAACAAGGCAAGGTGGGTGTGTAGTAGAATGATGTCTTTATAAACAACAGGGCAAGGTGGGTGTGTAGTAGAATGATGTCTTTATAAACAACAAGACAAGGTGGGTGTGTAGTGGAAAGATGCCTTTATAAACAACAAGGCAAGGTGGGTGTGTAGTAGAATGACGTCTTTATAAACAACAAGACAAGGTGGGTGTGTAGTAGAATGATGTCTTTATAAACAACAAGGCAAGGTGGGTGTGTAGTGGAAAGATGTCTTTTTTAAACAACAAGGCAAGGTGGGTGTGTAGTAGAATGATGTCTTTATAAACAACAGGGCAAGGTGGGTGTGTAGTAGAATGATGTCTTTATAAACAACAAGACAAGGTGGGTGTGTAGTGGAAAGATGCCTTTATAAACAACAAGGCAAGGTGGAAGTGTAGTGGAAAGATGCCTTTATAAACAACAAGGCAAAGTGGGTGTGTAGTAGAATGATGTCTTTATAAACAACAAGACAAGGTGGGTGTGTAGTAGAATGATGTCTTTATAAACAACAAGGCAACGTGGGTGTGTAGTAGAATGATGTCTTTATAAACAACAAGACAAGGTGGGTGTGTAGTGGAAAGATGCCTTTATAAACAACAAGGCAAGGTGGAAGTGTAGTGGAATGATGTCTTTACAAACAACAAGGCAAGGTGGGTGTGTAGTGGAATGATGCCTACATAAACAACAAGACAAGGTGGGTGTGTAGTAGAATGATGTCTTTATAAACAACAAGACAAGGTGGGTGTGTAGTTGAAAGATGCCTTTATAAACAACAAGGCAAGGTGGAAGTGTAGTGGAAAGATGCCTTTATAAACAACAAGGCAAGGTGGGTGTGTAGTAGAATGATGTCTTTATAAACAACAAGACAAGGTGGGTGTGTAGTGGAAAGATGCCTTTATAAACACCAAGGCAAGGTGGAAGTGTAGTAGAATGATGTCTTCATAAACAACAAGGCAAGGTGGGTGTGTAGTAGAATGATGTCTTTATAAACAACAAGGCAAGGTGGGTGTGTAGTGGAATGATGCCTACATAAACAACAAGACAAGGTGGGTGTGTAGTAGAATGATGCCTGCATTTTCACACAACAACTAAGGTCACGTTAAAATATCATCCACAGATAGTGAGGTCATTCAATGCGTTTATATTAGAGTTTTGTAGAAAATATAACATTTTCCGCAGTCACATATAACGGGCATATTTGTCCTCAATACCAAATTTAAGAGGGATGTCAAACGCCTAGCAGAAAGTTTTAAAATCTCAGACAGGCGACTAGCTAGTAAGCTGTTTTGTCCTGTCCTGGGAACATCACTTGAAACCTTCTGGTTTGTCTTTGTCACTGGAGAGAACTTGTAGCATTCTTGTTGGTATCGGTCAGGGGAGAATTTGAAACCTTTTGGTTTGTCTCGGTCAGGGGAGAGAACTTGTAGCTTTCTTGTTGGTATTGGTCAGGGGAGAATTTGAAACCTTCTTATTTGTATTACTCATGGAGAATTTGAAACCTTCTGGTTTGTCTCGGTCAGAGGAGAGAACTTGTAGCCTTTTTGTTTGTTTCGGTCAGGGTAGAATTTGAAACCTTCTAGTTTGTCTGGGTTAGAGGAAAATTTGAAACCTTCTTATTTGTCTCGGTAAGGGGAGAGAACTTGTAGCATTCTTGTTTGTCTCGGTCAGGGGAGAATTTGAAACCTTTTGGTTTGTCTCGGTCAGGGGAGAGAACTTGTAGCTTTCTTGTTGGTATTGGGCAGGGGAGAATTTGAAACCTTCTTATTTGTATTACTCATGGAGAATTTGAAACCTTCTGGTTTGTCTCGGTCAGAGGAGAGAACTTGTAGCCTTTTTGTTTGTTTTGGTCAGGGTAGAATTTGAAACCTTCTGGTTTGTCTGGGTTAGAGGAAAATTTGAAACCTTCTTATTTGTCTCGGTCAGGGGAGATAACTTGTAGCCTATTTGTTTCGGTCAGGGGAGAATTTGAAACCTTTTTGTATTGCCTCGGTCAGGGGAGAGAACTTGTAGCATTCTTGTTTGTCTCGGTCAGGGGAGAATTTGAAATCTTGTTTGTCACTATCAAGGGACAGAACTTGAAACATATATGAAAAGATCAGACGCCCATTACACTAACATAGGGACAACATATTGTATTTTTAAGGAAGGATCTACAGGGAAAATCTCAACATAGGGACAACATACTGTATTCTTAAGGCATTGTCTACAGCGAGGTTCTCAACATAGGGACAACA